TAGTCAAAGCACATACAAGCTCACAATATCTTCACGTATTATTTTTCTTTTGCTCTTGTCAAGCAACATATTTAAATTTAGATGTAAAATACAAAAATGTTTCATAAATCTGGCTTAGGCAATATCTGCCAATTAATAACTGACAATAATCCAAAGGTAAAGTACTCGTGAATATCAGGAAATTTATTTGCATTATGGAAAAAAAAATGTTCATAAAGTTGTAATATGAATTTCACACACATCTCATCGATCACAGCCACTTCAAAACTTTTCCCAGGTAGTTTTTAAAACCATCACTGACTAATGCTAATGGCAAGATAAATCTCAATCTCTATCCTTCTTTTAATAGAAACACTGGGTATGACACTGGGTGTCTAAAAAAAAAAAAAATGGCACTTTTAATAAGTGTTATCTTCTACACACCGAATCAGACTCTAATAATTACGACGCAATTGAATTTTTTATAAAAAATTAACAAAAGTTCGACTAATATATATATTATTATATATATTATATATAAATATCATACATATAATATATAATATATTATATATATTATTAATAATATCTTTCCTACATCTCCCAAATAATTTTGGTTTTCTTTGGAATTTAATAATAAAGTACCGTTTTGAAATAAAAATATATATACAATAATATACGAAAAACGACAAGTTAGCATCGTCTTAATAAAATGAATAAGTCAGATTTAAAGATAACATGAAAATCATCAACTCTGAACACTGTCAAAATTTTATCATTGCAAAATACTAACTCTAAAATATTCGTCCCAAAATTTTTGTGGTGATTACTGACTAGTTGCCAAAATATTCATTACCAACCAAAAAAGAAAAAAGAAAAAACACACCTGAGATTTCTTTATATCCAGAAGCTACTGAAAGAAAGTTTTTTTTTAAATGCATGTGTATTCAAAGTCACACATATTCACTCTCATTCACTTTTATAATTTTTCAGTCCTTCTAAGACCTATTTCACATAGATCAGATGCATAGTATGAGCCTTAGGATTAGAAATTATGAATCATCTTAAGTATGGGAACTAGATAAAGATTTGCCAAATTATGCACTCTAATATAATTAGATTGACACTTACTAATGGCGTTCGTTTAATTAAGAATTTGTTTAAATGCAGTAGCAACTTGTTGACAAAATGAATTCAGATTGCCACTCCACTCATACCTAACACTACTACATACTCAAGTCATTATTTTTTCTTTTTCTTTATTACTTACTAACGAGATTTTAAACGCATATAATGCATTGCTTATACTTAAAAAAAGACGGGCGATCAATAAAACTCGTATAAAATTGCTTAAGTTGCTCGTGATTGCATGACTATTTATATAAATAGGATGAGAATTATTGTTATTTAGCTAACTATTCATAAGTTAATAAATGAATGGTGAGCATATAGCGTATATTTATAGTTTTATACACACAGGAGCGCAAAGGCAGCTAGACGATCGAACACTTATGGTTTGTTGTCCTTTCATTCTTTCATTCTTTCATTCTTCTTTCTTTCTTTCCTTTCTCTTTTTTCCCTTCTTTTCTCCTTCCATTTTTCCTTTTCTCTTTCCTTTTTATGTACAATCACCTTTATCTCCTCTTAATTTACTTTTTTTACTCTATTCTCATCATTCACTTTTGCACTCGTTCAAATATTGCGCACGTAAGAATTGAGAAAATATGTATACATAAAAATGTTGCTCAATAGCGATAATAGAAGTAATAGTAATAGTTGAATAGTAATAGTAGTAATAGTAGTAGTGGACATACTAGTAGAAGTAAAAGTATCAATGATAAATATAGTCAAACATGGTAGTTTCATCTAATCAGAGCACAATGCGTTCTTTTTTTCTTGTATTCCTTTTATGGCTAGTTACTAGAGAAATAGTGAGAAATTGGGCGTGCTGTGAATGTGTATGTGAGTATGTATGTGTATGTGTCTCTATATGTAATTCATACGTATCGTTGGTAAGACACAAGTCAATACCTAACACAAATCTTTCAAAATGTATTCTAAAAACATAAATAAGAGCATTCTGCGTTATGCTTCTTTTCGTTTTACTTTTTATACATGACGCTACATCTTTTTACATAATTAAGAATTACTATCATAAATAAGAACTTGTAAAAAGTATACCTGGTACCGTGAATCGTGAAACTTCCTCTGTTAAAAAATCGTCATCTTGAATATAAGGGATGTCTACAAAAATCACCGAAAACTTGCACAAGGAGCGATAGCAGTCATCTTTCGAACGGTACTTAGGTTGTATTGCTGTGGCGGGTTCGTAGTAATAATAATAGTGACAATGATGGTAACAGTAATTACGGTAATAATGATAATGATAAATTGCTGGATGGTCCGCGGCAGGGGATCACTTGTCAGAACTTGGGCACTCTCCAGGTTGTTTCATTATACTGTAATCTAAGCGATATTGAGCTGAAAGTAAAAGTAAAAGCAAAAATTACTTAGATATCGCAGAAAGACTATGTAAATTATTTATTTTTTATTTGCGTGTAATTATAAATAATGACATTTCATGTATATTTCTGAAAATGTATTATTCAATAAACAAATTAATGGATAAACAATTTTTTCGTCAAATCTCGCAAACTTTTAAATAAAAATTTAGTACTTACACAAATAATAATAATAAAAAGTTACCTTTTTTGGTGAGATCCTCCATTGTTTGATCTTTACAGTCAATTGCAAGATGGCTATTACTGCCACAATTATAACACGAAATTTTCGTTGGTGGGACGGCAGCTGGTGCGTATGTGACAACTGGAGTAGGTGGCATATACGGCGCCTGAACGGGTGTCGCAGCATTTGGTGGAGGTGGTGGTGTTCCTCCCGAAGATGGATGACCAGGATATTGATACATCATTTCACCATTTGGTTGGTACGTGGCCGGATAAGCTGGCCTTGCATACGGTCCATGCGAGAAGTTAGAATAAATACCACTACTCGGTCTCAAAGCCGGGAAATGACCATGCGGCAGATATGTGACCTGCGACTGCGAAGGTGGCGCAGGAAAGGAAACGCATTGCGAAAGATTCGGTGGCCCACCGCCGTTCACCATTTGATTTTTATGATTATATTTTATTACGTGCGTCTGATTTCTTCTATTACGTTGCCTTTCCGGGCCTGACTGTATAGGCTGTTGGGATGCTGGATGTGATACAGCACTTGTAGAATGTACCGGTGCAGAGCTAAGGTGGTCAGTAACTGGCGGTGCATTACTCTCACTTCCGCTCACCCACGGTGCTGCCGGAGGAGTTTCTGGAGGAGATCTACTACCGGTACTATCAGAACTACTGCTCTGTGAACAGTGTTTGCTACTTTCAGGATCTAACCTCAAGGCTTGTAATTGCGTTAAACAATACACGTGTTGAGCATTACACCTAAAATATATTAAAATGTTGTTAATTTAAAAGCAACTTCGATAAATGTCAATAATTATGTACTTTCTTCCCTACCTTGAATATCGATTTTGTACCCCGGCAACAGGTAAGGTAAGACAGGCATAGCATGGTGCATTCTGTGCAGCATACATCGGTGGCGGTGCGGGATACATTTGTATTTGCGCAGGATCTAATGGTGGCATAGTAGGATATCGCCGTAAATTAGGAGTAGCTGCATGATTATGATGATGATGCATTGCTGGATGCTGTTCCTGTAATGGCATTGACTTACTGCTTTGATTTCCATTATCATTCAACATCTCCATTCCCGGTATACTCTAGATGATAATTTTATATTATATATTTATTTACTTTAAACGAGTTGTGTATGAAGTATAAATTATTAGGTACCTCATTTTCAACTGAATCTACAACTGTATGTGTTGTGCTATTAGTATTATCTAATTTTTTATCAGTAGAAATTTGATTTAAGCCGTTAGTAGTTTGACTCTTAACGATACTTCTTAATTGTCCTACTGCATTTGGTGTTAATCCTATTTCCCTCAAATCCTCATCACTCATTCTTCGGATCTGTACAATAGATCACATATTATATTTATTAAAATGTATAAATACATGTATTATACATTTACGCTAAATACAAAAATAAAATTTATTATAAAATGTTTTGTATAATTAGAAACTATTTTAAAACTTTATTATCTCACCTCATCAAGAGAAAAATTCTGCAAATTGCCTTTGAAATTTGGCATTTCTTTCCCTAAAGTTTCTCGTAAAGAATCACCAGAAATTGAAGATCGCAGTCGTGGCGGTGGTGGTTGTTTTGATTGAGGTGCTGCCGGAATTAAGGTAGAAGGAGTATTCTCGATGCTATTATGCCGTGAAAAAGTAGTAGAACTGCTGATAGACAAGGGAACAGAGCGTGATGGAAGCAATGGAGGTTGACTAGGATGACTTCTGTTCGTACCCAGTGTGGGAAGCGGAGGAAGGGAATTGACATTTGAGCTGCAGATGCTTGTTTGACTGTTAGAGGCACTCGTTGATGTTAAGGTATTCGAAGTAGATTGAGTCACTTGTGAAGAGGTGCGTGGCATTGTATTATTTCTGCGACCCATTGGGGAATTGCTACGACTAGGAGATCGAGACTGGGATGGTGACGATTGACGGCTGACTAAGGGGGAAGGTGGATAAGCCAACATGTCGCCAGTGTGATACATCAGTTGATTCCCCATCATAACCTGACCTGTCCATGGTGGCATATGATTTACTGATGGAAAGCCAAGGTGAAGGTATTGTGTTGCACCACCTGATCCCATTGGCATTTGTTCTGGAGTTGGCAGGCATAATCCAGGTGGAGGCATGGAAAGACCAGGAGGTACTCCAGTTACCATATTATTTCTCATTGACATTTCTCCTACAAATAATATATAAAAGATATCAATATTAATGCATATGTACATAATAAACATATGCATGCACATATTACATTATAAATTACCATGATAAGTTTGCATTGGTGGTGGAGCCATCATACAATTGCCTTGCATCTCTGTGTCCATTAATCTTTCATTTGTATTTATACATGGTGCGCAACCCTATTATCACAATAGGTATAAATATGAAAATAATAAAAATATTTACTATACCCTATTATCACAATAGGTATAAATATGAAAATAATATAAATATTTACTAATTAGATTAAATATTATATCAATAAATGTATTCAATAGAGAAAAGTTATACATACTTGTTTATAAGATGAATTTGATTTTGAGAGATTCAGACGAGCTTCTTCTTCTTGAAGCTTTATATAAATATTCCCGAAGACACTTTTCTGCTCATATGTAAATGCTGGATGATTTAAAGCCATTGTATACAATAAGAGCAGCTCTTCTAGGGGTTGATCATCCGGTGTAAAGGTGGTCCCATTTAATAGGTTAGAGATTTCTTGATAGTCAAAATTTGATAAATTCTTGTACAAGATTACAGCACATGCATAATTACATGAATGTAATAATGCCATATAGAGAGCAAGTTTTCTTCGTGTGCGCTTATCTGCCACACCTAAGGTTGTTAACTCTGCGAGATCAGAGGCACTGTTTGCATGATGTTCAGTATCACGGAGATCATTGTAATCCCGTTTACCAATATCCTCTACACAAGTGCCAAGGTATCGTACTTCAAATGGCAGGCACATGTTTAATAACGTGCACATGACATCGATGCGTTTATAACTGCACATATATAAATATATTTTTTTCATTTATTTTAAAATATTTTAAAGTACCTCCAAAACTACAAAAATACATGTATGTATATATATACACAATATCATATATACACAATATCAACATAAGAGTATAGTTAATGAAAATGATTAAATATTGTTAAATAACAAAATAGTAATAGAATATCAATTAGAATAATTATTTGTGAATAATTTTTTATGAATTGGTGTATTTTATTTATTGCAGTATTTTATAATTCACACTATTTATATGTAAAAAATATCATAAAGACAATTGTCCTATTTGTTAAAAATTATCAAATAAAATAATAATTAATATTGATTATTTCATCAATATTGAAACTTGAAATGTTAAAATTATATCAGAGTAACAATTTAATTATAGTAGTAAAAATAACAGTTTAAAACATACATAGTCTTTTATAATATAGTGCTTAATCTTTCGATTTTTTAATAACAGACTTTCTAAAATTTTATTAAATTTTGACAGGAAATATGAATTATACTGCTATTGATAACAATATGAAATATGTATATATACGTATATCATATTTTATACTTTCAAAACGGATATGAATAAAAAAAATTAATTATCAATTCATTATATCTTGATTACACGGAAAAATAGAGAAAAACAGTTGCTACCATACTTGGTACTCCTGTACAATAAACAGAAAAGTGATATATTAATAATGGAGCAAATAAAATATTAACGAAAATCGACGTACGTGTAATTTCTTACTTATTAATATGTTCACGTTTATTTTTTACACAGAACTAAGGTGAAATTGCGGAACGTTCTTTTTGGTTAGTTCGAAATTTGGTAAGGATGAAGAGGTCATAGTGAAAAACGAAACGGCGTGCTAAGAGCAAGAGAACTGTAGCAATTCGTTTCCGAACAAGAGTATGGCATTAGTTAGGGAAGAAGCTGATTATATTTCTATTACCTGGACAGATTCCCAAACCATGATACCACGTTCTCCTTACACACCATTGCCAGACAACATTGATACCACTTGGGCTAAAGAAAGCGCCGATGCGGACAGCTTTGGCGCCTCGGGTGTTGCTATCAAGTGACAATCGCGGCGGGGTCTGGTACAATAACGAACCAGTTTCAAAGCGTTCACGAATGTGAAAGATTTGTTAAAATCCAAAGGCAATCAGCCGTGGAGGACAGTTCAAACGCACAGCGGTGGCAGCAGCAGTACAGCACACTGTGAAGTATCCACATTCGCGGCAGCAGGCAGAGGCAGGCACGACCGAACGATCGGTGAAAACGACAAGCGTCAACGAACAAATCATACGTTCGTCAAAAACTTCGCGGAGACAAGTACAGATCGTCCCGTTAAAAATAAAACTCCACCTCTGCAATTGTCCCTACTGCGTACATTAATTCTCAGGAGATGTTCCAAGTCGAAAAGTCGAGTCTCGAGATCCGTTCACATGCTCGCGTTAAAAAAGGCATCAGGCACTTGCTGCTCCAATCTACAATAAAGAGGCATTTACATGTAGGTGGCAATCACATGTATCAACCCATCGCATTGGCCTTTTATTCATCGTCAATTAAAAAAACATTTTAACATTTGACGTAATACGCTAAAATTTATTTTCGTAAAATATTGTGTAACGATTGGTAGGCAATTACCAATTCGGAATTTTAATCGATTGCGTTTTAACATTATACACTAGAAAATCATACATAGATATCACGTTTGAGCATTGTTAGATTTTTTCATTAGACGTTAGATTTCATTTTGAATGTGTTATCTTATCGAATCTATATCATATATTTTTTTAGACGTTTTTGAAATTTTTATAGTTACAATATTAATTAAATGTAACATGTGTAAAAGATTAAGTTTCAATAAAACAAGATCAAGTAATCAATTATTTACACCGAATTTTTTATTGCTTTCAACATTTCTCGTAATATCAATACAATTACTAGATACTATACTATATAGTTATACTATTAGTATAGAAGTTATGGAAATTAACTATTAATACAGTAAGAAATGTAAAAATAAATAACATGGTTCGTGAAAGAACAAATGAATTTTCAGATGAATTTTCCTGGATTTTTTTTACTGGATGAAAAATTGTCTATACTTTAAAGTTATAAATAGTTAATTATTATTGTTTTAGTAATTCTTTCCAATTTCAAGGATAAGATTTATTTACAATAAAAGAACAATAAGAATAATAAAAGGATAATATGATAAGGATGGCATTTTATATAATTGCTTGACCCGAACCAAACAATAAATATATTATACATCCTAATGCATCTATCACAGCAATAAATATAAATACAACAGGCCAGCTGCGAGTTACATGTAATATATATCCAGAAAAATACACCCCAAGAAATCCTGAAAACATTTTTATTAGTAAATTTTTGACATATTAAATTTCACGTTTATATATCAAGTAAAAGGTTACCAGGTATGGCACCAACAGTATTCATTAATCCAAATACGCTTCCAGAATGTTTTGGTGCAAGATCTGAAGGATTTACTGCAATTGCGTTATTATGAAAACCTGATCCACCAATTATAAATGCAAGACAAATTATTGCACTTTGAAAAGTTTCTACTTTTGCTGAAATTATTTTAAAATTAATTGTAATATTTTTTTCTAACTTCTCTACAGACTATAAGCGTACCTAAAAATAATAAACTTATAATTTCCGTTAAAAAACATATTGTTTCAATTATTTTACGTGTCACTGTAATGGAATATCCTGCTTTTATTATTTTTTCAGAAAGAGCTTTACCAAAAAATGTACAAGGCAGCATGGATAGCCACGGTACCATGTTTACAACCCAACCCTAGAAGTAACAAAAAGGATCTTAACATATCATATGATCAAAGTATATAATACAAATATTCATTAATAATAAATTACCTTTACTTCTGGAAATGTATCATGAAAATACATTGGCATCCAGGATAATAGGACAAAGAAACAGTTATTTTGACAAGCATGACCTATTACACATGACCTGAAAATAGTACTCAATATGAAAAATTTATACACCTAAAATTTGGAACTATATTTTTATAAATTCATATAACTTTATATACTTTTTATATTAAGATTTGTGTCAGAAATTGTGTGACTTATGATAACTGAATTCAAATTGATCCCATGCACAATGATTACCAGAATGAAGGCTTTTTTAAAAGCTTCAACCAAGGCAAAGTGTAGTTAGTTGTTGATTTAGTAGAAGTAGCTGTTTTTTCCTTAATGGGTAGAGTATGGTAACTTAATAGCAATGTCCATGCCAAGCTCATACCTCCTAAAATAACAAATTTATTAATAAAAAAATAATAAATAAAAATATATTTAATGTATTATAATTCATATTTGTATAATTTTAAAGTTAATATTTGCATAATAAATATACAAAATTTATATTTCAAATCAATATATTATTAAATTAACATTTGAATTGACATTATTGCTAAAATATAGCATACATTAGTTGGATCACTGTAAATTAATTAAATAAATGTTAATATTAAATATAATATAATATATATAATATTAAATAACATATAATTATAAACTTATTTACCTAATGTTTGAAACACTATTACCCAGTTATAATTTTCCAACAAATAAGAACCTAAAGATCCAGTAAGCAATGTACCAAGGGCAGATCCTGATGTTAATAAGCTAAAGAATGAGGCTCTTTCTGTTTCATGCATTCGTTGGCTTATTAAACTAATCATACTGGGGAAATGCATTCCTACAATATATGTGTAAGTAATAAATCATCTTTTGTATTTTTTATTTATTTACTTTACCAATTTAACAAGAATACCTTGAAATGCACCATTTATCATTCTTACTGTTGCTACTAATAATACAGAGCTATCACTTTTTGAAATAAGCTCTATGACTCCTGGCATAAAAAATGTTGTCATAGACCATCCAAGAGCAGAAATCAATAATATTTTTTGTCCGCCAATTCTATCACTAATATAACCACTGGCAACTTGTGTTAATGTATAACCCCAAAAAAAGCTAGACAATATTACACCAGAGTCAGGTTTAGACCACTGTTTCTCTTTACTTATAATTGGCATTAATAAAGGAACAGATGTTCTTGTAGCATATATAAGACAAGTACCGCACAATAATGATAAAAACCATTTTCGCCTCTCTTTCCTAAAATCCACTTCATAATTTTAGTATAAAATAATTATTTTAAACATAAAATAATCTTGTAAAATGATAAGAAAGTTTTTAAATGTAATAGACATTGTAATATAGAATAATTACCTGGACCAAGATGAATTTGTTCTTTCATCTTGAATTAAAGGTATTTGCATTTGCATTTCTCATCAAATAATTTCGTTCGTAATTATTGTTGTTCCCATATATTGAAAATGTATAAAATAGTACTGAACATATTTTCTTTTTTCAATTTTAATTGTAGATCAGTAGCAAAAAATGAAAGTAAATTCGTATGTTACACTTCCTGAGTTTCCTAAAATTATCGTGAAATTGGAAATTTCCCAAATCAAGTCATCGTTAATTTCATGAGATTATTGAAGACAAGTTAATCTATTATGAATATTTAACAACTTAGTTTTATCAAAAAATATATATTAGTAGAAATTGAACAAATACAATTCTTACAAAATTATGTTACATGTATAAATAACATATACATATATACATAAATGTCTACTTTCATTTAATTTACATAGCTGATAAATTAGATTACACAAATATCAATTTCATTTCATGGATAACAGATTGAAAAATAGAAATACATTGAAACTGCGTTATTTGAAAACTTCATGAAGTAAACATAGCCAACAATATGAAGTTACCTTTCCAAGATACATAGCATATGAGCGCGCGTAAATACAATATGAAGAAATATACTTATAATATTCATTTAAATTATCGAATGTGAATATGAATTAATAAATTTTTTTTATACATTTTTTATACATTTTAAATATAGTTTCAAATATAGTTTTATTACCAAATATTAATTATAATTATAAAACAAACATATAGTACACAGAGAAAGATATATATGTATCTACGAACTTATAAGTAATTTACAAAATATTAAATATATTATAAGAATAGAAAAATATTTTTACAAAGTAGACATGTAATTACATAATTATTTACTATACTTTACTCTTTAGAATAAACTCTTTAGTCAACTTCACTTCTAGTTATTTTAAAATTTTGCCCATATTAATCATCAGAATTATTATAATAATTTTATGTGTACCAATCCATTTTAAGCAAATTTTTTAAGCAAACCGTTAAATAATAATAGCATAAGATTCTATTAATAGAAATGGATTATATTTTACCACAGACGAGGTATATGAACCTCGACTGTAATTTTACAAAGAAAGTACATATCAAAATACTATTGAAATAACTATTAAATTTATTTTAGAAATAAAATTTTGCTTCAGTAATTTGTATCGATATGAAATATAATTATTTATTTATTTTTATTTTATATTGCAGCAGAAGTAAACCTGTTATTATTTTTTTCTTGAATTAATTAAATAGATGTTAGTATTAATTAATAAATGTTATTCTTTATTATTATGATCTTTCATAAATCATTCGTATCATATTTCTTTTCATTCTTATCTACAACTCACATTTTCGCGCTCAATAATTTACGAAACACCTTGTATAAACGATAAGCATTAGCAAATTTTACGTCGCCAATATACAGTAGAACTGAGATGATCCAGATGTTGAATGGAATGATGTCGTATCATATTACTACTAAAATGGTACAAAGTAAAAAGCTAATTAAATTTCCATTTGCATGCAAGCTATTTAAAAATAACGGCAATCTTAATTTGAATAATATTAGATCAATAAGGTAAGATTTATATTTAAAAAAATTGTTTGACCTTTTTAACCTTTACATTATAAAATATAAATTAGGAATTTCTTCATATTAAAAATTTTTTGAGAAGAAGCTGCAAATGTTTAAAAATAGCACTAATTTATCTTTCTCTTTCATAAAATTTATTTTATGTATGAATTTAATTGATATTAAAATATTTAATACATTGTAGTTCATGGTGGGATAACGTAGAAATGGGTCCACCAGATCCAATATTCAGTCTTACAGAGAGATTTAAAGCAGATACACACCCAAATAAAGTTAATTTAGGAGTTGGTGCTTATCGAGATGATGAAACTAAACCATTTATTTTGCCAAGTGTAAAAAAGGTATGTATTATAAGTTGATTATGTTTAGTAAATGTATGTAACATATTAATTTAACAGAATCAACTATATTATAGGCAGAAGAAAAAATTAGAAGTAAAAATATGGATAAAGAATATTCTGCAATTGCAGGAAATGCAGAATTTTGTAAACAAAGCATTTTGTTAGCACTTGGTGAACACAGTAATATTGTTAAAGAAGGTTTGGTATGTATTACACGTATTACATGCTATATAATTTATTTATAATCTATAATACTTTGTAGACTACTACTGTTCAAACAATTTCTGGTACAGGAGGGCTTTGTGTTGGAGGACTTTTTTTGTCATATTATTTTAGTGGCAATAAAGAAATATATTTACCAGTACCTACATGGGGAAATCATACTCCTGTATTTACATTATGTAGACTTCCAGTAAAACAGTATCGTTATTATGATCCAAAAACATGTGGATTGGATCATAAAGGTCTTTTAGAAGACTTATCTGTTAGTATAAATATTTGTATAAATGTAATAGTATATAAATGATATATTCATATATTTATTGATTATATTTATAAAGTTTATTTGTAATGTTATGTTTTATAGAAAATTCCAGATAAATCCATTATTCTTCTTCATGCATGTGCTCATAATCCTACTGGTGTTGATCCTAAACCAGAACAATGGAAAGAGTTAGCAGAATTAGTAAAGAAAAAAAAACATTTTCCCTTTTTTGACATGGCATATCAAGGTTTTGCTACAGGTAGAACAATACATAAAAAATTAATAATTAAGTAATACGACGCTATATATTAAAAGGTATGTTGATGTAAATTTTAGGTAGTCTAGAAAAAGATGCTTTTGGTTTAAGACATTTTGTAGAAGAAGGAATTCAACTTGCTCTGACCCAATCATATTCTAAGAATATGGGTTTATATGGTAAGTATATAAAATAAAAATTTCGTAACAATCTTTTCTGATAAATGAAAACACTTAAAAATTATTGATTTTTGTAGGTGAACGTATAGGAGCATTTTCAATGGTTTGTGCTACCAAGGATGAAGCAAATCGTGTTTTTTCGCAATTGAAACGTATAATTAGACCAATGTTTTCTAATCCTCCAATTCATGGTGCCAGAATTGTTTGTGAAATCTTAAAAGATACCCAATTGACGGACCAATGGATGATTGATATAAAAACAATGGCTAATCGTATTATATCTGTACGCCAAAAGTTAGTTGATGACCTTAAAAAGGCGGGTAGTGTCCGTAATTGGAAACATATTACAGACCAAATTGGAATGTTTTGTTTTACTGGTCTTAAACCTGATCAGGTACTATCATTGTTAATTATTTCTGTTAATATATATACAATACATAATTTAATTTTTTCATTGTTTATTTTACAGGTAGAAAAGCTTATAAATGATCATCACATATATTTGACAAAGGATGGTAGAATATCTATGGCAGGTGTAACATCAAAAAATGTGGAATACATTGCAAAATCTATACACGATGTTTCAAAATAGTTGAACATTTCTACAAGTTTTTAAGAATCTGTATTAAATCCCGTCTTTAATCTCTAAATACGTTATATACATAAGCAGTATGAAGATATATTTTATATCAAATGCATTTACTCTCGCATGTTATTTTTATAAGAGCACTCTGCAGGCAGTGTACTACATATTAATGATGATGCACTAATATGTAACTATAGTATAATAATTTTTATATTATGTATACTTCTATCGTTAAAAAATATATATAAATAAAAACTGTTAAGAAATTAATATAAAATGCTCTAAAGTTTGTAATTATTATTATTTTTTTAATTATAAGCATTAGAATTAATCTAAAAACTAGAAAGTTTTCAAGTTAAATTTCAATTGTTTGAAATATTCCGGTACGATTCAAATCGAAAATAATATCGATGAATAGACTTTTCGATAGTGGAAGTTTACGATAATAATCGATATACTATCGATATTTCTTTACCTTTAACAAGTTATCTGTTCAGGCATTTATGTGTATGTCACAGTGATAAGTGAATTTAAATTTGCACATTTTCTAAAAAATTCTATTATTCATAGGCCTTCGAAAGAGTGCTGCAACAAATACGTAAATATGGTAAAAAAAACCTGAAAATGAAAAGAGAAACAGAGACGAAACATGTTCTGTTCGATGATTTTTTAAAAATAAAGTAAGGTTATATCGTTTTGATTAAAATGACTTTTCACTTTCAGTTCGGATTTAACATGTTTCCGGAGATTCTCAGACCTTTCAACAATCATTACAGATGTTTTTCTGTATCAATGTTACCGGGTACATACCGTCGAGATGTAGAACGTGGAGGAAAAAGTATATATATCAAAAAAAATTTCTCACAATTTCTCTCAATGAATAAGTGTAAGATTTTAAATTGTTGTTTTTCAGTCATTATGCCACCCTCAGCTTTGGAGCATCTTACGAGATTAAATATTAGATTTCCTATGTTATTCAGATTAAGTAATGAAAAGACAAATAGAATCACTCATTGTGGAGTTTTGGAATTTGTTGCAGATGAAGGAAGAGTTTATTTACCTTGTTGGGTAAGTTTGAATTCTCAGTAATCTCAGCATTTTCTCTTTGTTGTTGATTGAAAATTCTTAATTACGTTATTCTACAATTATCGTGTTTGCAGATGATGTATAATCTTTTATTACAAGAAGGAGAATTAATAAATGTTGAAAGTGTAACTTTACCTGTTGCAACATTTTCACGTTTTCAACCACAATCCGAAGACTTTTTAGACATTACAAATCCTAAAGCTGTCTTAGAAAATGGATTAAGAAATTTTGCTTGTCTTACAACAGGTGACATTATTGCTATAAAATATAATCAAAGAATATATGAAATGTGTGTTTTGGAAACAAGACCTGGTCCAGCAGTTACTATTATAGAATGTGACATGAATGTTGAATTTGCTCCACCATTGGGATATGTAGAAAAAGAAACTACAGATGAAAATGTAGTGGATCCTGCAGATTTAATGCCAGCACCATCTGGTTTTGTGCCATTTAAAGGAGAAGGCAATAGACTAGATGGAAAAAAACGAAGAGATTTTGCAAAACCAGAAGTTATTACAAGTAAACCAACTTATGTTCGAGGAATACCAGATTATGATTATAAAATAGGAACAATTACATTTTTACGTATTATTAAACCTGTTAATAATAAAGAGGTAAGTTGAAATATTATTTGTATGTTACTTTATACAAATATATATATATATATTTTTTTTTTACAGGCAAAAGATCCAGATGAATTTAAAGCATTCACTGGTGAAGGTTTTTCTCTTAGGAAGGCAAAGTAATTATATAATTGGTGATTTATTTATTTTCATACAATTACTTGTATTTGTAAAAGTGAGTATTTATATTTGTAATTAAACTGTTATACTTTTTAACAAAAAAGAGTCTTATACAAATTCTCCAACCATTACGCGACTTTTATTTATAAGTTTTTTTTATTTGCTTAATAACTTATCCTATATTATAGTACAAAAATTTATATCTTATTACTTAACTATTTTACGAATAAGGTCAAAAAGTTATCGCTATAAAAATTAATATATACTGTTGTACTATCACAAATTACAGGATTGGAATGAGAATTTTAATCGACCAATGGACCCCAGAAATATTTACTAGGTTTTGTTGGGTCTTCTGTTAAGAAGAACTCACGACCCAATGTTATAAATTCATCAAAACTAATTTTACCATCATCATTAGTATCAATATGACTGAAGGAAATAATTGCATCCTGTAATGAATGTTTTAATTTAATTGATTCATTAATTTAACATTGTTTTAATAAGGAAATGTGCAATCTTACTTACATCATGTGCAAGTCCTAAACATTGGAAAAACAACCGAAATTCTTGTTGTGAAATTTCACCACTTTGATCTTTATCTACTGCCTGCAATTTTATATTTGATAATATTTTGAAAATATTTTTTAACAAATATTTATTTATATAAAAGCATATTTTTAAAAACATACTTTGAATAAAAACGGCAAAAAATGATGACATTTTCTTTTCAATGCCGAATCATTAAGAACATGTTGCATTTTTTCCAAATATTTTTCAATGCAAATAAGATTATATGGACTAATTTCTCCCCATTGTTCTTCCCACATTTCCTATGTGTAAATAAATACAGAAATATATAATATATATTTTCTTATATAATACATACGAAAGAGATTGACTTACATTCAATATTTTTTTGAATTGAGTTTTTGCTTCTGGAGTCAAGTGTCCTAAATTAGAAAATCTTTTCTCAAATAACATAAAATCATCGTAACTAATAACTCCATCTTTATCAACGTCTAAATGATTATGTAATGTCCGCATTTTCCTTCTCCAAAAAAGCGTTTGTCCCTGATAAATAGAAAGAAGCTCTAATGTATTAAAACATGTCAAGTAATAAGAATTTGACAAAAAATGCTCTTACTTTTTCTTCTTTGGTGTCAAAATCATCAATTTCTTGTTCATTTACAGAAATATCCGTCTGATGTACACTTCTTGTACTATATGTTAGCGGAACTATTTTACAAAACTGAAAATAAAACATTTTGTTTATATATTCTTTATATAAATAAAATGTTGTTTCAAAAATTATTTGATTGTGATAATTGTTATCTAATTACACTATGATGTCACATCACGGTAATCATATTAACATCGTAAATACATAGTTCAATGAACTCCGATGCAACGTGAAAGCTTGAAATAAGAAAACAAAAAAAAAAAAAAATTTTACCTTAATAAATTAGAACAATTTAATATTATATAATGCTTCACTATTAAAAATATTACTCAAATTTTTACATTTCTCAAAAACCGATATTTTTTATAAGTATAAATATATTTTATAAGTATAAAACCGATATTTTTTATAAGTATAAATAATTTTATAAGTATAAAATTAAATTAAATAATGATAAATTTAACATTTATTTATGTACAATATATTGTTTATATACAATATGAAATAGTGCATAATATTATATATTTACATTAGTCTATACTTACAAATAATACATAACTTTGACCTTAATAAACAAACAATTTGAAAATAGTAAGAATAAATATATAAAATATTCAAATTTTCTTAAAGTTTGAAAAACTTGCACTTTTTTAAATAACATTTAAAAATAATTATTTACTGTTTTTATTAATTGATATTTTTTCATATTAACGTTACTTAATAATATTTATTATTTCGTATTAATATTCTTTTTAATATTGTAAACAAAATATTTCTTAAACAAATTTGTTATGTACAAATTTTTTAAGAAATATTTAATTAATACATTAAATTTTATGTGTAATATACGAAAAAAATTACCTGATTGCAGTTTAGTAAGATATTTTGTTTTTCTGATATTTCACAGTACAAAGCTGAAATACTTCCTTTTTTCAAAAGCTTATTGGAAATTAGAAATCGCAGACCAGTTCGTAATAATGTTGTTGTCATTTTAACTTAAAATTCAAGAGAACTTTTTGTCACAAATTAGATTCTACGTAAAATCGTTTGGGATTTAGTACTAAAGCAGAGAAGAATAGTGGACTCTTTTAGATGGGTCGGTCTTAAATTCTCCTCTTTGTGTCTTGCGCGTGCGCAACAGTATTCTGTCCCCCTTTTTCTCAACGGGATTGCTGTACCCTGATTACGAGTGTTCCTGCACGTCCCTTTCTTTTCGTAGATAAAATCATAAGTGTACATATTAACACAATTACGAAGAAACTTAAAATATTTAACAAGCACTAAACAATGCTCTATTTGAATTTCAATATTAATAATACAATCTCAGTTAACGTAACGCAATGTATAAAAATAATTAATAAACATTGAAAAACATTCCAAATTTTATATATAAAATATATTTTATATTTTATGTTCTACGCCTATGCGTTCAGAGGTATCGCAATGCTAGAAAATTTTATGTTTGATCAGTCCGTTCTAGATACAAATAAAGTTCGAAAAGAAAGAATGGTTGAAAGTGGAAAGATCAGATGTTAACACACACAAAGAAATTTCAAAGAATGAAAAGTAGGTCACGTTAACATACACTTAAATATACGTAAATAAGTATACGTGACGAAAAGCATGGTGCGATTTGGTCCATTGATATTTTTTGTTTTATTCAAAATGATTAATGCAATGTAACATGAAAAAACAAATATTTTAAAAAAGCTATACGCCCTACACAACAAAATACTATAAAAAAATAAAAATTATAATTCGAGTTATAATTTATATTTATTAAATAAAAAATATGATCATTTTCATCTTGCATTTTCATTTTATTTATATCAAATATAAAATGTACAATTTATATTTTTAAATAAATGCTTAAATAATAACACAGCTAATATTTTAAATGAATTATATGTAGATCAATGTTGAATTTCATTATGAAATTTCATTGCTAATTCATGATATATATATATATGATATTATAATTCTCGAATATATTTTAATTCTTTTTGTATTCAATTCGTTCAACTTTTACTTCATCACCAACAAGTTGATAGACATAAGTTACAACTGTTGAACTTTGAATATCCATTAGAACAAAAGATGGAATAACTGACCTATAAATATAATATACGATTAATGAAATATAATAATATAAATACAATATTAATGTATAATAATGTAAGCAACATGTTAAATCATAAATCATGTAACATTTACTTTGTATTATATGCATAAAACCTTACGTGTCAAGAGGGTTATATGCCCCTGTTGCAGAACCAGGATTAATATAAAATTTATTTTCATGCTCATATGCTTCAAATTTATGTGTGTGGCCTGATATTAAAATATCAACATCTAATTGTCTTTGAATTAAAGCTAATGATTCTGGATCTCCCCACGGTACCACTTGATGTCCATGCGACAAACCTATTCTAAACTGACCAACAGTGACTACCTTTTGTTCTGGATAATTTAAATTCTATATATAAAAGAAAATAATGAAATGTGTATTATTAAAAAATTACAATAATATTAAATAAAATATTAAATAAAATATACCTCGTCAAAGTCTCCTCTAACAACATGAACATCACTGGCTAATGTTTTTAAATAATCATATGATTCTTTTGTACAAAGATTACCTGTACATAAAATATGTTGTATTCTACCAGGCACCAATAATTTCTTAAATTTACTTGGAAGACTACTACATCTATGTGGAATGTGTAAATCTCCAAGTACTAAAACAAGCTATAAATATTAAACATTATCAGTACACACAATAAAAAGTTATATAAAATTATATAAAAAATTATATAATATTATTAGTACATGTAATAAAATTATATAAAATTATATAAATATATAATTTTTATATTTCCTTGAGGTTAGGTTATTAATATTCAGGTTAGGTTCATAATCAATTTCTATTATCAGTACTTTATTTCGTGTACTCACCATGACGAATTTAATAATATTTTTAGAATTTTTATATATTTTTTTGTGTTGATATTTATCTACAATTGTTACTTGGGAAAAACAGAAACTAATCAAATGTCAAACGTACTATCAGTAGTAGGTATATGGTTGACACATAAATGTTCGATTTTCGAGATTCGAGATCCTATTAATTGTCGATTGTTTTTATAATGCGCTAAAATATAAACTATATATTATTCAAAGTTTATATTTACTAATAATGTAGATAATTGTTGCAAAATATACGTTTATAATTATTATTTATTTACATCAATTATCTTGGATATATGAACAAATATTTTTATCATGATTACTTAATTCAATTACAGTCTACAGTTCATTTTACGTATAATATTATGAATTTCTTTTATTATTTCTTTTATAATGGTTACTAAATTTAATATTATTTAATGTTTTATTCATAAAAAGTAGTGTAATGAAGGAAATTTAACATGAAGTGTGTTATAGCAGGAGCTAATGTAAAAAGTATGTTGGTTTTACTTAGGTTATATTTTTATGATTTCCTATTTGAAGATATTTATTTAAAAGTATTAATATAAAACATTTATTAGTTTTAGCAAAGGCTATACATGCATTAACCAAAATTGGAGATGAAATGTACATAGAACCACATGAAAATACCTTATCATTTCGTACTGTTAATATGCCAAATTCAGCTTATGCTGATTTTACATTTCTCAGAAGTTATTTTTCATATTACGTTTATGGCGATATACAAGAAAATGATGCATTGAAATGTAAAATTTCAATGAGGGTAATAAAATTTCATTATATTTCAATGTTATAAATAGTAATGTCCTTATTTTACAGAGTGCGATAACTGTGTTTAAGTCTATAAATTTAATAGACAAACAAGTAGAATCATGTCACATTAAATTAGAGTCTGATGCATCTGAAATTTTGTTTATTTTAAAATATAAGAACGGTATTACTAAAATTCATTTATTACCTATATTAGATTGTGAAGTATTACAAGTACGTATCATATATACCTAATGAATCATTCATATTTTTATATCTTACTATCTTTTTTTTTTTTATATTTTTCAGACTACATATAATAAGGATTCTGCATTAATTAAACTTTCATCTCAATCGCAAGTATTAGGAGATGCAATGCAAAATTTTCATCAAAATTTAGTTGAAATAACACTTGAAGTTTGTGCACAAAAGCTTTTATTAAGAAATTATGTTGATGATACCTCGGGTAAATTTCAATAACAAAAGTAGTTTGCCTTTATAATATAAAATATGTTTTTAGGTTTATCAAATACTATACGCACACAATTTGCACTTGGAAAAGGAGAATTTGATCGATATGATATTGGTAGTGAAACATCAATTACCTTTTGTGTAAAGGAATTTAAGTCTTTTTTAAATTTTGCAGAGTCTGTAGTTACACCAATTAGTATATATTTTGAAGAAGCAGGAAGGTAAAAATTAATAATTTATATCCAAGTTCCTTTACACATATTTGAAATGAAATATTACATATGAATAAAATATTTATTAATGTTTTTCAGACCTGTTATATTTGCGTTAAAAAATCAGTCGTTTGAAGTAAATTTAGTGTTGTCAACATTGTGTTCTGATTTAGATAGTCAAGCAGAAACAGTATTAACTAATAAACCACAAGAAACATCTGTGAGAGGAAGAGCAAGAAACAAACGAGTTTCTAAAAGGAATAGTAATAAATCTAGTAATAAAATTCAAGATAAATCAATTAAATCTACATTAGGAAATGATATTAACAAAAAATTACATCCATATTTGATGGAGGAACAGATAAAACAAGCTAGTACATCTACAGAAGGTAACCAAAATGTAAATACAATAAGTAATTGTCCAATAGAACAAAATATTGATGAAAAATTTCAAACATCTTCGTATAATTCTGATATAATTACGAACTTTAATAAAACGTCTATAAGTGGGAAAAAATTAGTGAATTCTATATTTCCTACAATAACAAAAAGAAAATCTAATAACAATCATACCGACAAAGAAGAGAATTTGGATGATGATCAATCTGATGTATTTGAAGACAAAATACCAAATTCACCATCTCCACCAAATAAAAAGGCTCGTTTAATTTTTCAAAAGTGCTTTCAAAAGACATTTGATCCAAAAACATTGCCTGGGTATGAGATAATTTTGGCTAAAGATTCAGACGAGGATTCTGACAAATAACTTTTCATAATCTTTTTTTTTGTGCCTTAATTATGAGTTTACTATGAAACTAAGTTTTTATTATATTAATTTATGAATCACTAATTTTATTTCAGTTAATGCAAATATTTGTACATGTTAATATATATCTATGAATATGTGTATTTTACAGATAAATATGTACAATATATACATAATAGGTGTTTTAATATTTTCAAACATATCAAATATTTTTGTAATACACATATTGTATTATACTCTATATTGTGTTTGTAGTCTTATAATTTTAATAATTTTATATTATTTATTATATATTAACATTCTTAATTTTAAATATGAATCTCAAATTACTAAAATGAAATTATTTTATATTATTTAAGTTTCTTTTTTAAACTTCACATTATCCATAAACGAAATAAAAACGTATCTTTATTAATAAGTTATGTATAGAATAAGAATAATAGGGCAAAATGTTAAAATTAATATGTGGAGTATTTTATAAAGGAAATATATATGTATTTCATAAAAATTGTACAGTTCCTTCTTAAGGCTACTTCAGCTCCATCAAAATTATTGTTAATTTTAATATTAATTTTACGTTTAAGAATAACAACAAATCAATAAATGACTATTATTTGTTAGATGAACTTTTGATATAAAGGCAGAAATCTAATTCTTTTTTTGTCGCTACATGAAAATGCTACTAGAAACACAAGCAAGAATGGCTTTCTATCTACTGCGTATTCCTGGATTATAGATGCCTTAGGGGGGCACCACTAGAAGAGTTAGAGAACTAAAAATCGCGATCCCGCAGTTGATCTTGAAAGAATGCAATACGCGGACGTATTGTGACTGTACGAGGTCGAATTGTTCCGTAGCGATTCCGCTTGTACCGATACTTGTAAGTATACTAACAATTTCGAATCTTCATTCATAGTAACGGGTTCGCGTAATATCGAGAATAAGATTTCGCGTAATAACAGCGAAATCTTCATACGGCAATATACGCGACGGTAACGACAGTGATTATTATACAACCGTTGCCTCGTACGCGTACAGAGAATCGCTTACGATCGACAAGAAAAGTGCGTGTACGTGAGTGAACCGAGTGCCTCAACCCTGATCTCCGCGCCCTTTCGAATCGTTGACAGTAGCCACTGTGACTTTTCGCGAACGATTTTTATCGATGACGTGCCCTGGACCGGTAAACGGAGAGTACAAAGGTGTTGCATGTTGCGTGTTAGGGCAAGAAACAAGGGTCTGTACCGTCGCGTTTTAACCATCGAGGTGGGCTGCACCGACGAGACACTGGACGTTCCTAGATTGGCGGTAAATACACATTTATCAACAGTGTGTGTTTCTTTCCTTTTCCTCCCATCAAGTCTGCTGCTCTTTCTTTTGCTTCGCACTGTTTCATGTGTTCTGCCGTCGTTCATCTGCCTTACGTAGCATTTCAAGCTATGATTGAACGCGTGATATAATTTTCCTTTTTCTCTTTTTTCTCCTTTTTTTCTCTCTATTCATTCTTCATACTGTAGCGAGTATGTGTGGGTCTTGCCAGTTCGCCCTCTCGCCGGTGTCACGTATTAATATTGATCAGAGGGCCGGTAACTAACCCGGAGGAAGGAAATATCGCCTGCGCTTTTCCAAGCACGAAAACTCCTAGGCTCCGCCCTCCACCAATTTTCACCAATCGGTGTTTTCCTTTTTCGAAAAATACTTTGCGATTTTTTCGACCGTCGTGCCCTTTAAACCCTAGACTTCGTTCCCAACGTTGCACCGCATTCGCGGATATTTACTAAAATGATTTACGAACGTGTAATAAACGTCAGTCGTCGTCGAGTGGGATCCTCCCATTTTTGGCCACTCGAGAATCGGTATGTTAGATGCTCTGAAATCTCCGCGACTGTTAATCCTGGTCTTTTCGATGCTTATACGCTAGAGAAGGAGAAGAGGGGCTTTTAGATCGGCGCCGGATGCTGCTCGCTAATCATTCGACTGGCTACATCCGTCCTCTCGCGAAAGGGTTCCCCACGAATACGCCCGGCGATAAGAAGGGGTGTATACAACACATTGCCGCGGATGTGAGCAACCGGCGAGATCAAAGATCCTTTCGCGTAACGCGCGTTCATCGTTTTGTCGTGGAAATCGTGTAGTTCCGCTGCCACTTGAAAACCGAGGGATCGCGTTTACCGAATTACATAAGTCAATTAGTCTATTTTCAGATAGCAAAATTCTTAAACGTGCAACCGTTGTAAGCGGTTCGCTCGAGCGCGGTGCTCGTGATTTCTTTTGATACTGTCTAAAATAATACTTTCGTAAATATGGCTCTTTTTAATTTGCTCTTTTATTCACGCTCGAGTGTGACATAAATATTTGAAGCGATGCTGTGTAAGAAAAGAAAAAACTAGAAAACAAAAGTTACGTTAAAGAATAAGTCAAACGAATTCATCGTATATATTGCAACAGCTTATAGATTATTACTGGCAGCTAAATGTGTTCGCGCGCGTGTGGATTTAGTGATTGTTTGCGACAAACTTCGTGCGAGTTACCCTCGAACTATATACACGCATAGATAGGCAAAACCTACTTCTCCGAAATGATCTTTATTTAGTTGCTGCCAACAGAGCATAACTATTTCTTTCAATGTTTTATTGTCTGAGAAATATATGCAATTAATAATAAAGATCGTGAAATCACACTTGACTGTTGTTCACAATGTTTTCATTGTTATCATCCATAAATGGCCGTTGATGGTAGCAAGGAGATCGTACGAATTTTAGTCATTGATCTTTTACGTGTTATATGCCCCCCTACCATATTCGTATGTTTGTATTGGCGATTCATATCATCGTTTGAATTCTGCAGTTACGTGTTAACTTTGAAAACTTATATTCGTTTCAGTCGGTATGTAATATTCACATTTGTTAATGTAACGCAATCGTTTATGCGAACGGTTATAAATATTACATGACAGATACATATATACGTTCAGTTATTTTTTTTAGTTATCGAAGTTATTTACATATCGTAAGAAATTTGCTTACATAAAAATTCTTT